CATTAGCGTCGTAATTATTACGCAGCACTTCATATTGCGCTGATTGATTGACTGAAGTTGAATTTAATTTTTTTTATTTTTTAATATTTTCAATTTTTCTTAACTTCCTTTTCGTACACACACTTGCGCAGTTGTTTTTCGCTTTATAATTCGCAATTCACAATTCACAATAGCTACACATATTACAGTTATCAATTTTTTCTTTTTGCAACATTTACCGTTACAAGTTTTACCGTGTTAAAAACTATCGGGAACAAGTAAATGTTATAATTTTTACTTTGCTGCACTGCTTTTGTTGCTGTTGTGGTCGTTGGCTTTTTTATTTGGTTTTTGTTAGTTTTCGTTGGTCCTGCTCCTGCTTCTGGTTCTGCTGCTGCTGCAAAAATCTACAGCACATCCTTTATTGATTCTTTCAGTGTGCAGCACACACACACGCACACAGATGCGAGCGTCAGGCGAATACGCATACACATACTATCGCACACACACACACGCACGCATGCACACATGCACAGTTAGCTGGTATCGCCTTCGCCTACATATACACACACACTTCACATTTCATTCATTTAGGCCGTAGTATAGACACATCTTCTGCGCTGGGTCTCGCGTTTTCTTTCGTTTTTCTTTGGTTTGGGTACACACGCACACACACACAGTTTAACACTGGCGCCACCTAATGCGTATGCGTTTGTTGCGTTTTGGACACACGATTAAAATGGTTGTTAGCCACTCCTTTAGCACCAATTAATTGCAACTTTAATACATTGTTTCTCGTTTTACTTTAAAAATTTCTACGCAAATATCGAACATTTCCAAACACCCCAATACTTCCTTGGACTAGGGATGGTTTAATATATCGATATTGCATACATATCGTCATAATATTTGCTTACGATATCTGGAACATGGGAATCGATATTTCGTTCGATTACGTGAACTAAAGGTCCTAAAATTCAAACAAATCGTTTGACAACCCGCCAACTACATGTTTACTTTCGCTATTGACATCTAGATGGCGCTAGATGAGACGACAAAGCATGTGGCGCGCAAATTTAAATATTATATCTTTTTCCAAACGGGCTTTTGGGGATATTTAATATTCTGCAGTAGAAAAATAATATATATTATATCTACATATATATATTTTTAGAGCAGAAGTTATCAACTATGTATGACCATAGCTCTTTCTTATGTAAGGCTGCAAATTGTTACAAATGTCCCATTAGGGCTTTTTCTGGGAGAACAAATTTCCTCAGCTGCAGCGTGTAACGGTTTGCAACTGGTGCTGGTGCTGGTGCTGCTTCTGATTGGACTGCAAGGCAGCAAAATAATCAAATAAATTTAATCAACGCGTCGAGCATATTAATGCTGGGTCGAATTGCATTTGCAAGTGCGAATTATTGCACATACTTACAATATAACTGTATATTCAGTGGCAGCCAGCAGCCGAGACAATTTCTGGGACAAGAGACAACAACAACAAAAATGTCACAGCGAACTTCAAATTTATGTACAGTGTACATGGGTCGCCATTTTGCTGGGCGTGAGAGGGCAATTTCGTGGGCGAGTGCGAGCGAGCTAGCACATGCCAGCAGCATCCCAATGCAAGTGCATGTGTCTGTGCCCTGTGGCTGTGTGTGTGTGTAGTTATTGCATTCTGATTGGGTGCCCCAGCATTGATTTCTTGCTGCACAAAATGAAACTTGTTGCCTGCATTGTTGTTGTTGTATAGCTGTTGTTGCAGCCATCTTGGCAGCCGATTACCGTTGCGTGCCGCATACCACATGTCACACATTCCAATCCCAGCTTAAAAACATGCATAAAATCATGAAAGAAACTTTGGCACAAGCAAAACTCTGCAGCAGCAGCGACGACGACTTAGACGTCAGTGCTGACATGTTAGCTTTATTTCATGCTGGAATTCTCATTTATATGACTATTATCCAATATATGTTAATTTGAATGCACATAATACATTAAAACACAAAATCAAACATTTTAAACAAAATAGTTTTTTATCTTTAAATTGCTTTTTAGTAAAACAACAAATGTTCTCAACTTAACTTTTTTAGCTAAAATTATTTTCAGCTATTTTCTTCAAGCCCTTGTTTATATTTTTCAGCTGTGTCAGCCTTGACATTTGAAGAAAAATGTTTTTCTTAGCCTTTTTCAAGCCATCAACTAGCTTCTGTTTTTACTTCCCAGCACTGAGTAGCTGTTAGTTATTGATTTGTGAATAAATACGAAATATGCTCATATACCCGCAAATACACATGCCCACATACATATAAAGACACGCGTTTGCATATACAAAAGTTGAGGGCATGAATTAATTAAAAATTCCGTTGGTGCCCGCTACGCGAAAGTAGTTAGCATAAGCGAACGCCGATAAAGCAACAACAAAAGACAACAATAATGAAAGAAACAAATAATAAATAAATAAATCGAGTCGCATTTGACGCTTGTTGCGACCTGCCTCCAGCTTCGTTTGTGTTTTCTGATATTATTAATGAAAGTTCTTTCGTGATGTGTTGCTATGCCTAGTCTATTCCTCTCCTTCTAATTTGCCTTGAAGTTGAAATAGTTGACAACTTTGCAACACTGCACTTAATCGATTTCGATCGATAAGTAACGTTGTATGTAATGCAAATGCATTTTATATATCAACTTGAATCAGTGTGCAGACACACACACACGCGCATTCGCAAAAGAGTCAAACATAGGGTTTGCGTGTATGTGTGCAAGTGACCTAGGCTTCCCACTTGTTAGAGATGGGCGCGTGCGGAAAGTTTTGCTAACGCAAGTTCGAAGCAATTGCAAGCTGCGCCTGAAAATTCGTATAGCACACATAGTAGAAAATATATACAACAGAAAGATAATTATTTTAATATTTATATATATTATGATTGTTCATATATTATGTGTATGAATTTACATTTCTATTTTCTGTTTCACGTTTTGATTTTGATAGAAATGAATTTTAATATATATTTGTTTCATGCTATCGTATCACGAGACAGGCGAAGCTGTCATTTACTCTATCTCTCTCTCTTGTCCACTTCTACTTACATTCACATTAAAGAGATATGATCGTCACAAATTGACGAGCAGAGTTGTTGTCGCTTGTTGTTGTATTTGTTGCATGTCTGCACGCGCAACGCACTTGACTGCTGCTGCTGCTGTTGCTGCTGCTGCTGCTGTTGCTTTTGCTGCTGCTTGGAGTTGGGTTCCCTCTTGAATGACGATTGCGGCGACACCTTCTCCATACCAAATCAGTTTTGGAGGCCAATAGAAGCTGTTGCTGTTGCTGGTTATCGTTGTTGTTGCTACTGTTTGTTGGCTGTTGAAGATGTTTGTAATTTAATGGCCTCTTTTTTATATTTGTTACATTATTATTATTCAAGTGTTGCGCGCAGCTGCCGCAAAACATTTCTCTCTGTCAATTGATCTTTTGTTCAGTTTTCTTGATAAACCGCCCTCCCTCCATCCACTATCTTCTCCCTCTTTTGCGCCTTACCATGCGGCATCCCGTGCAAACTATCTTTGACTTTTTTTTTATGTGATTCTCTCTCTCGCTATGTGTGCGTGTGTGGAAATTTATGATATATAATTAGCATGCAAAAAGAGTGGACAGCAAATGCTGAAGGAGAGGGAGGGCTCGGGAAAGTCCACATAGCAAAAGCTAAAGTGTTCGGAAGGAGAGATAAGTGTGAGGAGAGCAGTAACACATACTAACACAGCAAATTCTTAAAATGGTAGGTGGAGAGGAGAAGGAGCTAGACAGCACTAGCATAGCAAATGGTCTAGCGGAGGGGAGAGAGGAAGAGAGTAGTGTCATATAGTCTCACAAACAGCAAATGCTCAAGTGGAAGGAGGTGGAAGAGAGAGAACAGTGCCAAGAAAGGAGTGTCGCACACACAGACTCAACAAATGCTTAAAGTAGAAGCGGGAGAAAAGAAGGAGCTTAACACACACACGCGCACATAGCAGAGGCTGCTAGTAGAAGACGGAAGAGAGAAGTAAGCGCACACACATATGCACACTAAGTAGAGATGTATGCATGTGAGTTCAAGCAGTGTCGCATTTTTGGCCCGTTTTGCTAAGCTTTTTTTTTGCCCAATTGTTTAGCTAATACACAAAAAAAATAGAAACAGTTTCTGATTCCGATTTAAAAATATTTTAATATTTTATAAATTGATTGTTTTGTCGCTTTGACTAGAAATCTTTGCATTTTGAATATTAATTTGCTGTCATAGGTCAAAATTCGCTTTCTTTTCTTCCTATTTTTTTCGTTAAGTGATTATTTCGAGCAGGAGCGGATTTTTCTTTGACTGAGCGCCTAATGCGTAGTCGAAGTCTTATGACTGTTTATTAATAAAGAGCATTTAAGATCTTAAGATGCCATAACAAAATTCCATAAATATAAACATATATACATAATAATATACCTAAATGCAAATAGTTAAGTGGCCTATGTTGGGCCCTGTGTTACCCTCGCATCCGGCCCACTTTGGCCCCTAACAAATGGAATCATTAATTTTACGAACTTTCGATGCTTAAAATGATTTCCCAGCGGAGATTTTTATTTTTGTTGTTGTGGCTGTTGGGCTCATACGTCTAGAGGTCGATAGAAGTTTCGCCGAAGGGCCCTTTGACTAAAAACTTTCATCTGCCAAATTTGGCAGTCGATGTCTGTCCCAGAGGGGTTATAGTTGATTGATCTTTGACCCCAAACAGGCCAAAAATAGAAAAAACCTATTTTTTTCTGCCGAAAACGAGTTCTCGGAAGAAAGCAAACTATGAATAAGCAGCTGAATAGATTCTACAACAAATGGCAAAGGAGGAAGACGAGGAGGGGACGGACTAATGAATAATTCAGATCTTATATCGAATATGGTTGAAGATTTTGGCAATTAGCTTTGGGTCAATAGGTCTGCGTCCGCTGCGAGCTAATATAAGCGGCAGCAGCCGCTCGTAGCTCAGTTTAGTCGAGAGCCATGAGGAGGCACAGCTGCGTCTGGGCTTTGGTTGTTACGGTGCTCTGGCTGGCATTGGCCAGTCGAGAGGTCAACGGCGAGACGAGGATCGAGGTGGATGAGCACGGAGATGAATACGAGCTGAAGCGTTTCTATATCCAGGGTAGACAGCTGAATGGCAGCAAATCGCAGTGTGTGGTCACCAGAAGAAAGCGTGCGAGTCGCTCGATGGCCGCACCCACCATCTCAGTCAGTTCGCAGCAGTTGAGCTTGGGTGCTGTGCCGGAGCAGCTGGCGCTGAAGCAGGAGCAGGATTCGAGCAAACGCCGCTATGTGGCGCTGGCAGCGGTGCAACTGCAGCATCAGGACGACGAGGAGGATGACGACGATGAAGACGAGGAGGATGATGACGACGCTGCTGAAGAACAGCATCTGGAGCTCGAGGAAGTGGTCTTAGCTGATGACGATGCCGAGGAGCAGGAACAGCAAGTCCAGCCACAAGCTCTACTCGTTGATGCGGTGCAACAGAAACAGTTCCCAGGCCAAAGCCCGAACAGCTTTGTCACCCTAACACAGAGCGTGCCCGGCGGCGTCAGTGTGGTGGCCAATGCGGCAACCCATGCGAATGTGGGCGGAGATGCGGGCATTGTTGTTGTCGAGTCACAGCAGCCGCCCAAGGTGAATCCCAATACGCACGCAGTGTTCGAGCTGAAGCCGCTGAATCATCAGGCCTACTACCAGCAGCATGTGGCGGCGGATGAGCAGGAGGAGGACATCGACAATGATAGCTTCTATTATCAAGGCTTGGGCGTCTACGATGAATACGAACACTTCATAACGGAGGACAGCCCGGTGAGCACGTCGGCCATATGGAGCACGGATGGCGATGATGACGACATACATCCCGTTATCAATGAGCCCAATCGAAAGCCCAATGAGAATAAGAAGAGGAGAAAGCCACAGCAGCAGAAGCAGAAACAGAAGCGCCGGCAGCAGCAGAAGCAAAAGCAGCAGCGTAAGAAGCCACAGCAGAAGAAGAAGAAGAAGCGCCCTGCTAACGAATTGCAGACACTGAATGGAGTAGAGCAGGACAACAAGAGAAAGCAACAGCAACAGCAGCTGCAGCAGAGCGTCAGCGTCAGCAGCGTCGATCAGCTCGCACTGAAGCCAATAGGCAATAGCAGCAGCAGCGGCGTCTCTTCGGCGCCCGTTAAGCGTCGCAAGTCGAAGCCCAAGAAGAAGAAGAAGAGCCGGCCAAGCGGCGTGGGCAACAGACGTCGCCGACCCAGCTCCAGTTCCAGCTCCAGCGCTAGCTACAGCTACGGCTCGATGGGCGGCTATAGACGCCGTCGTCCACAGCAGACGGAGGCGCAGCGTCGACGCCGACTGCAGCAGAAGCGTCGCCGGCAGCAGTTGCAGCGCCAGCGTCGTCGCCGCAATAAGATTCGCCAACAAAATGGCGGCGTTGGAGGCTATCGTCAGCAATATTTTGGCGACGAGCCGATCGTCAATTGCATCTACATCAACAAGGATCCGGCGCCGACGACGACAACAACAACGCCGCGACCATTCTGGAATCTGCTGGGACGCGGCGCAGCGCAGCAGCCAGCAGCGGCAGAGCAAGCGCCACGGCGAAACGGCGAGTTCGGGAGCCGCAAGCGCACGAATCTGAAATTTGCCGCCTAAGGGGAAGCTCAAAACATGAGAATTATTTTTAAAAGCATTTTTTTTTCTTCGACACTTAAGTATTTATTTATTTAAACCATTTTTTGTAATTCCCATTTTTTTTTACGTTTTTAATTCGCTCAATTAAATTTTGTGGTGTTGCGACACGTGTAAAAATTATTAATAGTCGGCAGCAATTTTATTATCGATTATTTTCTGTGGTCAAAAACTCATCTAAAATGTGCGACACCTGCGCCCAGTCCGCCCCATTTACAGAGCTTGCTACCCGATTCTAACTGTAACATGAATCCGCTATTCGGCGCGTGACGTGGCCAGTCCAAGGCTGAAAGGAAAGCGAGCTAGAGACAGAGAGAGAGCGAGAAGGAGTGGGCAGTGGAGACGCAGTTAGTCGCAGCGCATAGATAGCAAAATGCAGCAAGTGCGAGCGGGATGGAGTTTGGTTTGAGTAGCGCTAGTTTATGATTTCCGCTGCCAGATGGCGCCAGCAAGCGCAATTTAAAATGTCAGCGATGGGAACATTTGCTGCCTGACGCTGCGGCATTTCCGTTAGCTCTGGGCGCCTCCCAAACGCCTTCAGCGTAGCTCAGCGCAGCGAAACGCCAAGTACGCACAGTGGTTAAAAGTGTGTCAAATACTATGTGTTACATATTTGATGCGTAATTATGTTTTATTTTTCCTTTTTATTTTTGTGTTAAGAATGTTGAAAAGTTCATATAGAAAGAGTACTGGGTATCTTACTTATTCTAGACTAAGCAAATAAAAAAACTTTGATATATATATATATATATATATATATATATATATATATGTGTGTATTTCTATTATAATATTCGCCGTGCCTGTTACCACTTTCGCACCCAATTTCTATTTTTAAAATGTTTTCTATTGCATACTTTGCAGGTTTTTTCGAAATAGATAAGCAAATGCATTTATACTGAGCTTTTTGACACATTTGTACCACTGTGTGTGTATGCATGTGTGTGTGTGTTTGGAGTGGATCGATATGTCCAGCAGCAGCAGCAGCAGCCAGGCAGCAGCTGTACATTTCGTGAGGTTGGCAAAAAGTATCTACAAGATACACAGCACACACATATACAGGTAGACACACCTACACACCTAGAGAGAGGGAGAGAGAGAGCGAGAGACAGAGGCGCGCGCGCTTTGTTGGGCGCATTTAGTTTGGCTTCCGCCCATTTTTGGTTAATGTTGTTGTTTTAGTTGTGTTTTTCTCATGTTGTTTTAGCTGTTTGCTGAATAAATAAAAAGCGTGCGCACAAAGGACACAAAAGAGCACAGGCGACAGGCAGAAATACTAAGGGCAAGGGGAAAAGGTAGGAGGACAGGCAGAGCAGGTAGAGGGCGGGTTAAACGCAGCCCAAAAAGCAAACAAAAAGCACAACAAAATATAAGAAGAACGGGAATGTCATTTATGTAGAAAGGAATTTAGAGAAAGAAGCGAAGGGACAATGTGCTCAGGTTGGCAGCCAAAGCAAGAGGCGGGTGTGAGAGAGAGGGTGTTATGGGGTCGGTGAAGTGAGCGGGAAAAACACTATTTAAGCTCGATATCAACAAAACTTGACGTTAGCGTGTGACAACTCTGTTTACTTTACACTTTTTAAAGCCAATCAATCGGTCAGTCAGTCAATCAGATGAAGCTCTATGGTTTATATAAAGACCTATTTAATGACAAATATTTTATGAATTTTTCTTATTTGTTTTTGTTGTCTATCAATCAGTCAATCAGTCTGTCAGTCGGTGTGTCAATCGATGAGTCAGTCGGTGAGTCACTCAACTCTAAATATGTAGATCGAAATAGCATGTTTTGAACGAGTTTGTTACCTGACTCGGATACTCTTTTAAGAGTCAATCAAATACATCAATCAGTCAGTCAATCAATCAATCAAGTCCACATAAACAATGTCAATATGTACAAAATATAACGAGGGACAAGTACACTTTCCTCTTACTTTTCAACAGGCTATCAGTGAAGGCAATCAATCAATCAGTCAGTCAATCAATATCAATATCAATATCTATTTACCATATGTATCCCTCTGGCTTGTGGGAAGCTTACAAATTCTAATTAAGCACTAAGTAGCTTAGATAATATTTGTCTTTCATTCGTTTAGCTCTCCAATATAGAATTTCAGTTCCAAATTCTTTTTTATCGATATATAATACTAACATATTCATCTTATTCATTGGAAACCGGACACCGAATGCCCAACATCAAATTGTTTTCTTTATTTTTTTCTTGTTATCTATTTAATTTCACTTTGCTTTTCTCACGCTTTGGTGTTATGTGGAAGTTTATGTATATAACGAGGGTGGCTCATGGGGAGCTCACGCTGGAACGGGGAGTGCGAGGGGTAAGGGCTTTTTGCTATTGGCACGCTTTTTTATGGCGTAAATATTTACAGGCTTTGGCGAAATTTGAAAAGGGGAAGTCGCATATCACTGGATGGGTCGAGAGATAGTTGCTGCTCGTCAGGCACTCAGTGTCTACGCTGTGTAATTAATATGGAAACTGAAAGAGTTTCTTGCACTGTGGCACTAGTGGAGCCGGGGGAGGTCTTTGATCCGTAGAATTGAGCTGTCTGTTGTCTTTGGTAGGACCCATTGCAGCTGTGCGCCCTCCGAAAAGGGTCCTTAAAGCAGGTCATTGGCATGCGGAGAACAAACGGGTCCTCATTTGCTTTTGCGGTTGCCCCACTTTGAAAAAGGAGCACGAGCCAAAGAATGAGAGTCCAACAATCGAAAGCAGAACAAGGCAATAAAGAACAAGCGGCTATGATCGACTATCAGTTGCTCTGTCAGTGTAAAAAGAGACACACATTTCCTCAGACCTTGATAGATCAATAGTTAAGGCTGCAAAATCAATGTCTATCGAAAATCGATATTTATCGATAGTGTTAAATTGAGCATATTGCAAAAATTATAAAAGTTAGTTTGGCTTGTATTTTATGTAAGTGCACATTTAATGAAAGTTGGACATTATGTGTTAGACATGCTTTTAATCAAAGTTAATCGATAAACATATCGATATAAAGCTGTTGCTTTAAAATATAAGTACGTTTGTTTCAATTTGCGCGGCTTTACGTGTGTTTATATATAAAATATATTGCACAATTTAAAAATATAAATCGATATTTATCGATTTTAGGTAATCACTGAATTCGAGAGATGCACGCACCACAGATACATATATATAATTAAGGTGAGCTTTTGAAGCACAGTAGTATAAATTGGTCGATAGGCTACTCGATATTTATCGATTATTGATAACATATTTGTAAGCGCTATCGATAGATCTTACAAAGAAATTTATGCACTCAAACTGCTTATGTCTAGCTGTTTCAACTGGCATTTGAAGGGTATTTGAAGTGTCGCTAATGTCGGCGCTTGCGGCGCAGTCTGTGCAGTCTGTTAGCTCCTACTGATTTATGGCCACGTATTGATTAAGCGTCGCGTCGTCTTCTACTCTAAGTCGACCCGCTTCCCCGTTCAGCTCTCCTCGCTCTGTCGAGGTGTGAGTGTGGCAACCCTCGCCGTTTTTAACGCCAGTTGCTGTCGACAGATTGGCCAAGGGCTTGTCCCTGGGTCCAGGGTCTGGCTGCATATCTGGCAGATGTTTTTCCTTCGTTATTTGGTTTTTTAGATCAGGCTGTTCCTTACTTTACGCTGGTCAGCGCCTAGTTACGCAATGATTTTTGACAGCGGCGTGGGCGTGTGTCTCTCTCTCCCCTTCCCTCTCGCCAGGCATAAAAAGGTGCGTCTATTTAGTCATAATTGGATGCGTAATTGGTTTGATGACGTGCATAACGCAGAGATGTGGAGGAGAGCTGCATTTAGATTCCGATTGTTTATGTGCGTTTAATGGGCTCACAGCCCTGACTAAAGAGGTGTGCCTAATGCCGTTAGCTCTAAACGCGCGTAAGCAAAAAACGATGATGAAGGACGATGCTTTGCGATTGTATATCATTCTCAGACTACAAACATCTCGCACTATATCTGCCCAAACTGTGAACATGAAAGGGTAACTCCAGGTTGAGCTTGCTCAGTTGTACTAAGTTTATCAACTAGATCCGAATAGATAAGCCTTTCTATATCTATAAGGCTGGGAAGACGTTAACAAATGTAGGGTATCTCCAAGTCGGTCTCGTTTTTCGTTGTTGATTTCTAATCTTAAGCCAGGTTGATTCCTTTTCCAAGATCTATAGAGGATGAAGAGCAAAGCAATATATAGGGTATCTGCTAGTCGGGCTGCCATTGCTATATCTATAAGAACTCTTTTTAAGAATGGCAACCAGACGAGTTGAAGAAGCAGCCCTGGGCACTGTCTAGGGTATCTTCAAGTCGGACATCTTCCTTTTCGTGAGCTCATGATCTTGAGCGAGGATCAGGACGAGTCGATTTCTTGGCACAAAGTTTTGCAGCTGCGGCAACTGTAGCATTTGGATGCTGCACGAGCCGAAAGTCAAGTTAATTATAAAGCGGCAACACACAGACTCACACACACACGCACACACACACATAAAGGGGCACACACAGTCAGAGAGTGACTGATCGTAGCACGCGCTAAACTGTAGAAGGAAGAAAAAAGGGCGGCAAATGCGAAGCGGGGTCCAAATGCAGCTTGCAGCATGTTGCCTGCTGCAAATGTGAACAACGGTGAAATGGGGCAAGCGGCGCGAAACAGGTAAAAGGCAGCAGATAAACAGGTAAGCGGTAAGCGCATGAGATGCCAGCCAGAGTGAACATCACTCGCTGCACTCGCCAAGATGAAGCACAACAGACAACAACGAGGGGCACGTGCCGCGTGTGTTTTCCTTATTTACGAGTTATTATTGTTGTTGTTGCAAGGATGCGAGTGCAACAGCCGAGAGCGAGGGTCCTGCCGAGAGCTGCCAATGCACCTGTTCGGCCTATTAAAGGGGGCACACACACACACACACTCAAGTCGCATCAAGTCGGTTCAATGCACTGCGAGCACTGCATGC